CCCCAGTTGGAGTGGAGGCTGCAAAGCCAAGAGAAACATCCATGTGCTGAACACCTGTCCCCCTGACAGGAGTAGGGTCAAGAACAGAGCATCCAAAATAATATCCTCCCCTCAGGAAAGAAAGCTGGGTCCTCTGTATCCTGTATGAAATCCCCAAACTTAGAACGATCTTGAGAACATTTTTTGCTTGGCATGAATACCGTTAAAAGCCTTTAAACAACTTCTGTCCAGCTTCTGGAAATAAAATTTTGTAGCAAAAAGGTAGGAGAGATCTCTCACTTTCTTGCAAAGGAAATTTTGTAATAACAAGGATATCTGAAATATTATAGGCAGTCCAAAGACATAACTTTAATTCACAGAATCACAGAATGTTTAGGCATTGGAACGACCTTAAAAATCATCTAGTCCCAAATTCCCCCTGCCATGGGTGGGGACACCTCCCACTAGACCAGGCTGCTCCAACCTGGCTTTGAACACTGCCAGGGTTCCAGCTAGCACAAATGATTTTAAAACTGGGCAGTGGAAGTTTACCTCCAAATTATGCTTAAGAATTTAATTAAAAAATAAGACTTAGGAGGAAAAAAAAAAGATAAAAAAGCAAAAAAGTAGCAAAATAAAGATCAGATGATTTACTGAAGGATAGATGGTGTGAGCAATTCCCCTCTCCAAGAGTATGGTCTGAGAACTAAAGGTATTTGGAAAGGCAATTATTTTTTAAACTGTCATCAGATTTTGTAGATAATAAGCTGCATATGAGAAGTTAAACTGCTCATCGAGTCTATTAATACAACAAAAATGCCCAAGGCTATTTTAATAGAACAAAGTGTGGGTGAATCTATTTTACTTGCAACAGTGAAGATTTCTAAGCAGCTGAAACTGAGTGAGCGGACAGCAGAAGGCACAGATGAGACAACACAAAATCCAAGCATCCAGGACTATTTTGGATTCATGTGACTCAATGCTGGTAGCAGGAAATAGAGAGAGGACAAAGCAAGACCATCATACACATAATTCTCTCATTTATGGGAGATTACTATGTTCCACCAGTCAAGTAGGAATTATTGCTGGCTGGCTTGGAAATTTATACTTGGCAATGTATTAAGGGAATCTTGGCAAGTAAAAAACTATTGGGCTTTCAAATGGGACAAATCTTTCCTTTCTGACTGCTCTGTTCTACTTCGTTTTCCTATTGGCTAAAAGGATGGGAATATCATCACTGTACAGGAGGTGGCCCCTCAGCAGAAGTTCTGTATATATTCTATGTTTCAGTGAAAAAGACCCACAAACACCAGTTACAAAAAGCACAAAACCACCCTACTGAAGAGAGACAAAAGCATACAGTGCTCCTGGGCACGCAATTGTCAGTTCATCGCCCACCCCAGGGCTCTCTGGTGAGGAATGGTACAAGTGTGTGGAAGAGTCAGTGTCAGCACACTGTTAATGGTGCAAAGTCACACAGAACAGCTTTGTCTTCAGCCACTTCTTCAACTAGATTTAAACCCAGCATTCTGCACTGGCAAACAGGAGGTTCTCACTCGTCACCCTTCTCAAATCTTGTATTCCATCCCTGGAAAAAAACTCAGAAAACTTCCAGTGCTTTCAGAGGATGCAGAAATCAGGAAAGAGATTTTTTTCCCCAGAATTATACGGAATAAAGCAGAAGAGAGCTGAACTTTCCATCTGCATTTTAGAACAGATTTGATGTCAAAAGTCAGAGGAAATTTTTCACATATATATAAAAATAAATTTTTAAAATAACAAAACTACTGTAGCACCTATCTCTGCTCAGTGTATTATATAAACCAAATATTTTAACATACAGACATTTATTTAAAGCTACATTTTCTTGAGTTCTGACTGCATATCTTATTCAAGATTTGCTAACCGTACTGTAAAATGTTATCCTATATTCAAGTCTTTAAATTTACTGTTCTATATATGTTGTCAAATCACTAATATCCTCTTGCAAGTCATCTTAACTACCAACATAGCAATTTTCCCTGTAATGACTCTTCATTTAAGACTATATGTTTACAATTTTCAACCATTTAGGTGATTTAAGTATATCATCTATTGAATGTCCTGATCTTGGCAGCAAAGAATTTTCTTGCCAGAGGGAATATGAAAATAACATTAAGGAAAACATTTTCCCAAAGCACAGATAGCTGGCAGATATCCCTCAGAAACAAAAGTCCTCCTTAACCTAAAAGTAGCCAGTCTCTCGTGTTCTCTGTAAAAAAATGGTCAAGAATTCAGTTCTGCCTTTAAGCCCTGCCCTGCAGCAGTGCACAGGGCAGGCTGTGAGGACAACATGCCAGCCATACAGATGTCCACATTCATTATTAGCCATTGCTCTCTTCTCTCCCCTCTTTCAGTGACAGCATAATCCAGGTGCTTATAAAAGTGCCTTCTAGTCCTTCCTGGAATTTACCTTCACAATGTCAGATCTAATCAGATGCGACATGAATACCATGTATGGGCTCAAAAAACCAAAAAGAACAATCTTCAGGGATCACTGCTTGTGTATTAAATAGAGATTAAACTACAGGGACAGAAAAGAATGGGATGGTTTCATTTATATTAGTAAGATCCCTTGCAGTCCAATGCATTTGGTTACAGCAATCAGGGTAAATGCAGCCAAATTTACAGTAACACACGTGTGTGTGCATGTGATACATGGACACACCTGGTTATAAATAGATTCACAGGGAGGTAAAATAATTTAAGACTGATACTTAAAGGAATCTCACTTTAGTAGAACACATCTCAAAGTAAGAATATGTGACTGCAAGTGTAAGCAAAGTTAAATTAACAAAGCAAGAGTAGCAGTGATTTTCAGAACAATAATAATTTATGGGATTCTCTAGATGATATGTGGAAAACAATACAGCAGGCATTTTAAAGATACGTGGAAATTATTACTAAGCAGTCATTAAATATATCAGTACTGTGGACACTTGAAATGACATTAACTCTGAATTACTGGATTTAAATGAAATAGATAGAAAAAGCTATTTAATGCTATAAAACTGAAATCTTAATATTAGAATCAGATCACTGATTGCCACATGGTCCAGTGAAGGCAAAGGCAGAATATGGCCCCTCACATAACCCTGTTGTGTTACCACAGTGGATTTGCCCCATCCACCCCACAGTTTGAGAGACATTTTAGCCAGAAAGCCTTTCTCACCTACTCAGATGAGTCTGAGGAGGAGGGAGAGAAGGGATCTTCTACACTTCATCACAAAATGATGATCATGAATCATCCATGGATCATTAATAATTAGGACATAAAAGAAGGGAGTTTCTTGCCATGTCCTCATTTCTGAGGTATCTGTCCATGTTCCACAGTCTCTGCACCAAAGACACAGACTGTCTATGAAACAAGAGGGGTCATTCCCTCTTGGCTCTTCAATTCCACAGCTGCAGTAGGGCTGAAGGCAACTGCAGTCCCTAATCTTGGTGATGGGCAAGGGAGTCCAAGGGTGATGGCCATCCTGCCACTGCCCTCAGTGTACAATTCATCTCAGCACAGCAAAGGAACGACGGCAGAACTCCCATCCATCCTTTCCCTTGTACCAGCTCTCAGGGCAAAGAGAACACTTGAAATGCACCAAGCAGAGTCCTACAGGGATGTGAGAATTGATCCTCTCAAATATGAGACTGCTAGATATACCAGAGTACTAGAATATTATTTCCTGATCTGAAATCTTTTCCCTAGAAAAAAAAAAATTGTCTAAATATCTTTAACTTTGGGCTGTGCAAAAGTTCTACAACAGGAAAAAAACCCAAAGCAGCCAAACACACAGAATTACTATAAAACCATTTTGGATACCACATTGTGATTGAAAGTATTGAAGAAAATAACTCTGGGTAATAAAGGATCCAAGCAGCAATAATGTTTCCTCTAATTACATGAAACAGCTTTAAGCAAAAAATAGACACCATTTCACTTTATCACACCTTATAAAAGATATTAAAACTAATTTGCTATTTATGCTTAATGAAAAGGAGGAAATGTTTCACCAATTTCTAATTTATTCTAAAAAATAAAGATTATGATTTCAGCATCTTAAATTCAAAGTTACACCAAGTCCATTGTTATTCTTGTTCCCCTTCCAGTAACACAGATGTGTGATACGTAGATGGTTTAGATTTCACTTTAAACTACAACTATGTTTCAAGGCTCCACTGAACAATAACCAAGTCCAGAATTGCTCCAAGCCACAGTGCCACAGCCTTTTGCTCCCACAGAAGACACAACTGGACACAACACAAATGGCAAATGCAATAACCAGCTCTGCGTTTTCCACTGTTAACCCAAACAGTGCTTTCCCTCTGTTTTGTTACCTACCCAGCCAGGTTCTCAGTCACCTTTTGCAGCAGTATTTTTAAATCACTTTCCTGGTAATTGTTTTTCCTACAAACATTACTAACCAGACATTTCCCCCACTTTTCAGACCCCCTCAAGAGTGAAGCTCTCTTGCTGGTTTCTCCAGTCCCTGCTCTCCAGTCACACACACCAACAAGAACATTTCAAGTCACACCTCTTAGAGAAAATCAGAAAGCTGGTTCATACAAACCAATTTAATATTCAACTAAAAATATTTATAAAATATATCAGTAAACTACTATCTATCATATACATTTTCCATTTTTTCCTCTAATCCTCATTTTGTATTTTCTATTTCAATTCCTTTGAGGAAGCAATTCCAAACTAGGCTTTTAATCCTGAATATTTCAAATGATATTTACAGTCTTATCTGTTCTTAATACAAGTGTCTGAACTGTACTAAAAATGGCATTTTATCTCCATAATTGTACTGGAAAAAAAAATGTATCTGTCCTTAGAATACTTAATTTAATTTTTTTTTCTGCAATATAGAATACAGCAATAAAAAGAACAGCATTAAGAAAGGCAAGGAATGGGGTTTATTTTTAGGCTTTTAATCATGGTTTTAAATTAAGAGACAGAAAAGTTAGAAATGGTTCATACTGACCTGAGTCCATAAAGGACTGTTCCATCTGGATGCAAACGAATCATCCTGTTCTTCACTGTGACCCCATGGACAAAGGACTTCTTGTCATTCAGGAAATAGGTGTCTGGCACCCACAGCTGGTCAGCTACTCTGTTGTCCAGAGTAAGGTTTAGAGGGATCACATTGTAGGACAGCCTCTTATCCCTCCACGCTTGCTGAAAGTACATTGTCAAGGTATAGTCCTGGGATTATAAAAACAAACAAAAATTGTATTGAAATAGATGGCACACATATGCAGAACTGACAATGCAAGTACACATGTATTCACTGGAACTGTTCTTAAAGGCAAACACTTCTGTTCAGAATTTCCATAAGTAGGTTTATTTATTTTTACAGTACTGAACATCTTGTATATACTCCATAACAGCAAGGAGAGTACAGAGACAATAGGGAATTCACATGTTATGAATGACTTGGAAGTCTCACTTCAATATTTAAAAATAAAACGGAAAAAAATGTAGAATTTAACAGTCTGCAATCTCTGTAGCACTTTACAAGCCTGGGAGTTCTAGGAAACAGGAACATTCACAGATCCAAATTTCACCTCAAGGCTTCCACTGTATTCAGGAGCTTTGGATCAGGCCTTCTATCTCTGAAGTTGCACTTACCACCCAAATACTTCTCTAAATTAAAAGCTCTTCAAAGTCTGTTAACTTTCCCCTGGGCACTGAAACCAATGGGAAGCCTCTGCAGTTCCTGTGCTAAAGACTCTCAGTCTTCCACTCAATTTTACAGATGAAGTAACTCTGGTTACTTCACTGAAAAATTCCGAGAGCACAATTAGCATGCGGGTGAATATTCACAGGATCATAAGACTGGCATGGTGTTGATGCAGGCCACTGCTGGACACTGTTTCCAAGATGCTTTGACCTTTTGGTGTTTTAAAGATCTATAAACTTACAAAGGTTGCAATCTTTGTAGAAACTTTTATACAGAAGGAGAATATTCATTATATATTAGCCTATACTAAAAAAACTTCCACAAATAACACACAAAGTATATCAAGAGATGTCCCGAGGAAAAAAGACTTGGGGATGTTGGGGGATGAGAAACCCAACATGACCCAGCAAAGTGCGCTCACAGCCCAGAAAGCCAACTGTGTCCTACACCAAAGTGTTGCCAGCAAACCCGGCGGGAATTCTTCGTCTCTGCTCCGTTCTCCTGAGACCCCCACCTGGAGTGCTGCAGCCAGATCTGGGATCCCCAAGACAAGGCCATGAACCTGTTGGAGCGAGTCCAGAGGAGGCCATGAAGATGATCAGAGATCCCTCTGCTCTGGGAAGAGCTGCAGGTGTTCAGCCTGGAGAAGAGAAGGCTCCAGGGAGACCTGAGAGCCCCTTCCAGGGCCTAAAGGGGCTCCAGGAGAGCTGGAGAGGGACTGGGGACAAGGGATGGAGGGACAGGACACAGGGAATGGCTTCCCACTGCCAGAGGGCAGGAATAGATGGGATGTTGGGAAGCAATTCTCCCCTCTGAGGGTGGGGAGATCCTGGCACAGGTTGCCCAGAGAAGCTGTGGCTGCCCCATCCCTGGAAGCATCCAAGCCAGGCTGGACTGGGCTTGGAGCAACCTGGGCTAGTGGAAGGTGTTCCTGCCTTGGACAGACACATTAACTTTCTTCCACTACTATGCAGAAAGGTGGGATTCATCCTACTTAACTTCAGGCTCTGGAGACACATCTCTGCACTGATTTTAGAGCATCCAGGGCAATCAGTCCTAACCACTGCACATCCATGAAGCCTGCCAGTGAAGAGAAGTGAATTCAAGCCAGTCTCAAGGGCAAATTGAAAAAAACTCATCAAAATCAGAAATAACCTTCATACCAGTGTCTGAGTACCCAGAGAATTATTTTTCCTTTCTTTACTAATTTAACTTTTAATGCATAAATGAGGTTGCTGTAATTATTCACTTTAAAATGTACACGCTCCACCCTTGAAAACATGCACTAGGGAGGCCTGTGAGAACTCTGGTATTCCAGCAGAGTTCTCTAAGCAGTGACACAGCACCTTGAAACTAATTGACCCTGCCTGTTCTGCAGAACAGTGTGCACTCAGATGAATCAGTATAAACTGGGTTTTAACAGAAATGTGCATTGCAGTGGTGGAAACACTCTTATTTTTTGAAGCATCTTTCCCCAGAAGAGCCCATGTACATGGCCTTCAAAATGCCTCTTACATTTTCACAGAAGCAGGGAGAACTACATGTTCTGCTGTGAATAGTTATGGTATATTTTCCTTATCAACACAAAGCATGGGCGGCAATGCTGTCCCTTCAATCCTCCTGCTTGCAATGGTTGAAGGTCAATCACCTTCATGTGCTGATGGAGCGTGTACCCCCCTGTGCATGGCACCTGCTCCTGTCTGCCAGGGGGCACAGACAGGGACTACTGTGCTGTTACCAGGAGGTAAACTCCAAATAAGTCTTCCCAATAGTTTTACTACCAAATATATTCAACCATTCTATACTCTGGTCAGTTTTAATGATCTGAGATCTCTTCCCCTTCCCATCTCCCCAGGATCAGGATGAGATTCTGCTTGCAGGAACATTCCACCTACATCCAAAGGGTTTTGCTGTTCTGCTTCATCACTGTTTTGCAGTATTTGATTCATACCCAGATATCAGAAAAGCTTCAGTAATATACTGCCAGTAAAAAAACATATTACTCTTTATTATGCTAATACATTAAGACAAAGTAGATGAGCTGTAGCAATTGTTCCCCTATTATGCCTGGACTGCTGTACTTTATTCCTATGCTAAGGAATAACCCACATGTATTAATATATAGCATATATATAGAACATGCTTCCCTCTTTACACCTCAGTAAAAGGAAAAGAAGAGGAGGAAGCAAACTAAACATGCATGGTTCAGTGCATAGAAAGGAATTACATAAAAGAGTAAATTTGGAGCACTGGCATAGCTCAAAGGAAAGCCAAGTCACCAGGCTGGAGTTCAAAATCAAACACACTGTGTTCCAGAAAGAGCTGGTGTTCCAACTAAAAATTATCCATCATCTGTTGGCCCTAGTTTCAGATGTGACTGGAGTTTCTGATGGTCAAAACAGAACACCTTAAATAAATTCTTATAAAACCCTCAAAACCTTTCAAATTTAAATGTTTACTTTTAATGATAACTTAAAACAAACCCAAACAGGTTCAAGCTGCATATTTCAAGGTGTAAGTGATAGGTTAGGAAAGAAAGAAAACCTGTCATACTAACTGCAATTCATTCCTTAGAAAGGAGAGGCATCTGTTTTCAAAATCCCGAATGAATGAGTAATTCAGAAGACGATGTGCAGGTACAAAATGTCCCAAAAGTATTCCAAGACTCTTTATTTTTGAGATTGATAACATGCTTGTCTAACAGAAATGCTACCAAAAAAAAGGCTATTAAACTCACATTTTATATGGGAGTTCCCCTCTCTTCTAAGGATAAGCATTGAAACAAACATGCAGATACCTTGTCTCTTTAGGAAAGCAGGCACACAAAAGAAGCAGAGGAATAGAAGTAAAGAACGATCTTAATTTTTTAAGGTTTTAGCATCCTATTAAATTCACAGGACGGGATTGTTAGAAACTTAGCGTAAGTCTGAAGATGAAACAGGAGCAAACTCATCTTAAAAGCCTAACACAAGGAAGTAATTACAATGAGCTGAAAGGAATACAAACCCAAACCTCCTGATGATGTGTCTGTGTACACATTACAGACATAAACTACAAAGGTACAGCCTGCTTCCAATACAGGCAGAGACACGTTGTACCCAGAGAAATAAAGAGGTCCCTCAGCTGCCCTGGCCACACGAAGCTTGAAGTGTTGTCACAACTGTATTAGTATTGACAAAGCTGAGAGCAAATCTAGAATTTAAATCAGCAAACACTACTTTTTCTGGAAATACACAAATAATTTTATCGCTTTCCTTATTGCTCCATTGTTCACCTAGATTTAAATTTAATAAACTTTTCTATTCTGTCCAGAGTAAATTTTAGGCAGTAGAAAATGGATCATTACTCCTATTCTATCCTGATCCAAGAAAAGATCTCTCCTCTTTTCCTCAACAGGTAAAATTCATCTCCCCAGTTTTCATCTTCTTTACTTCACACAACAAACAGAAGAGCAGCAAATATGAGACCAAGTTAATCTAATGCATAATTTCTCATATGAATAAAAAAGTATCCAGCAGTTTCATTAGTATCACCATATTTAAGAGTAAGTTTTATCTGAATGTTAACTGTATGGTGGTTGCCTGCAAACACTTTTAGCTGCTGGAAATGTAAATAAACTGGGATATTTAAACTTAAATTTAGATAAATAGAATTGTTGCAGATAGCCAAGGCATCAGTGAATGACCATCAATTTCAGTGATGTAAGGGAAGATACTGTGCAGAAAAGCATCCAATCCAAACACTGGCGTTCTTACTTATACTCCCACATTGCACTGATGCTCTCAAATAAGTTTTCTTAAGCCAAAAAAAAACCCAAAAACAAAACCAAAAAAGGTGCTGTGCCAGTTGTTTCTCAGGCCATTCTCCAGTGCCTCGTGGAGCACCAGCAGCAGTTCTCTCCTGTTAAACAGTCACCCCAGATTCCACAACACTGCATCTCTGCTCTGCCAGTTCCAAGCAGCTCTAAAACGGTTCGTTAATCCAGTGTTAGTAACAACCTGATGCCTTGAAAGCAGCAATGTACTCTGGAGAGCACAAATCTCCCCCAGAAGCGTTTATAGATCATGGGGTGATACCCAGAGGCTACAGCTGTGCTCAGACTAATGGGCCTCTGCCCTGTACATAGAAATCTTCCAGGAATAGACAAAACACCTTGATTTAGCTGCCTTCCTCAGCCAATAATCTATTGCATACTGTAACCTTATGGACAGATTTCACAACGTTTGAACAGTGAAGAGTGTGAGGATGAAGAAAAGCAATAGTGTCATGTCACACAGGCCTTTTCCTGTATTTTAAGTGGTCTCCCCATAACTCAAGATGTGAGAGGCTGTTTCCTCTCAAAAATGTCAGGCACTGTGGAGAACTGTCAGCACCGAAGTAAAGGACAATTTAAAATAAATACATATAATTCCTTCATAGTGATGGTAAGCCTGTGGAAAATGGTAAGAATGTCCAATTTGCATGACAGCCAAACACTTCAGCAAAGAGAATATACTTAGCTGAGACACAAGAGAATAAGTGA